TGGGTGCTGGCCCCACTGAGTGCCCAAGCTATGGTGGGCAGTACTTGATGGTGGGTCCCTCCTTGCTGGAGCCTGGTGGTTAGAAGCCCTCCCTCCTAGCTAAATATGATTGCATTTGGGTCACTTTGGGGATGAGAAGGGACAGATGCCGTGCCTAGAAACATGTCCTGTGTTTGCTTGTGTTTCTGTTCTTGCTCAGCGCCTCTGTGGGGACTGTATCTGCTTCTCCTGGCAGAGAAGTGGTATCTGGGTGCTCACATGAGCTGGCTGGTCTGATGGCACGAAGTCATGCGGGGGGGTCCATCCTTCCAACCCTCACCCTGTTAGGCAGACCTGGAAAGAGGAGCAGGCCCTGGCACCTGTGATGGGGTTTAAAGAAGCTGTGAGACCCCGTGCCCCATGTCTGTGGGGCAGGGACTGGAGGTGGTGGCTGGGCTGGAGCAGGAAGGGTGGAGGTGCCCGTGGGCACGTCTAGCTTGGAGGTGAGCGTGCTGTGCTGTCTCAGAGTACAGTAAACATGTGCTGTTGGGATTAAACAGCATGCAGCACCACTGCCAGCAGGGTTGGTTAGCGTGGGGAGGTAAACAGATGACTGTTTCATGCCATTAAATACGTGGCATCTGGAGAGAGATGGATCAGTTTTAGGCTGTTCTTCAGAGACAGCCAGTCTGCCCTTATCTAACCAGAGATGGTGGTGAGTTTTGAAGCAGCCCTCCAGAAGCCGCAGCTGGACTTCTAAGCATTTTGTCCTCAGGAAAGGGAGGCAGTGCCCCAGCTCCGTGGAGACAAACAAGCAGTACTACCAGGATTTCAGCTCTCCTAGCTGGGTCTGGGTGCACGGAGGTTTTGTGTCCTGTTCCAGGCTGCCAGGGGGCTGGGGTCTTTTCAGGCCAGCTGCTCATAAGCCCTGCTCCTACCTGCATTGGGTGTGTTCATGACTTTCACGCTAGGAAAAGTCTCTTGAGGATGTCTCATCCTCACCGAACCCAGCAGGCTCCAGGGTCAGTGTCCTGCCCCAGCCAGTGGGATTTGTCATACTCTTGAGCTGCAGAATCAGCAAGAGGAGAAACCTGCTGGGTTAGGAGGTAAAACTACCACACTGGATGCAGGGTTCGCTGGGGTCTTGGGTGCAGAGCCACAGGGACAGGCTTGGAGCTGTAGAGGTGTTAATTCCAGAGCAGCACGGTCACTTTGCAAGGCTCACACCTCCAATTGTGGCTGAAGCAATCCTGCTCTGCGTGAGCATCCTGCAGCAGGAGCAGCTCCTGTCTGTGGCATGCCCAGCTGTATGTCCATAGCAGGAGGTGGTCTTTAAGGAGATGTCCTTGCTCTTTTGCAGAGCCTAAAAGGAAAGTTAAAGAAGCCCAAAGGTGCTCAACATGAAACGAGCATCTTGGCCATATGATAAGCGTGTTGGGTGAGGACTTGGTGACGGTGGTCTTACCATGAGGGTGGTCAAACACTGGCACAGGCTTCATGTTGAGGTGATTGCTGCCCCGTGCCTGTCAGTGTTCAAGAGACATTTGGATGATGCTCTCAGTAATGTTTTCCCTTTGGTGAGCCCTGAAGCAGTCAGGATGTTGGACTCGACTTGCAGGTCCCTTCCAGCTGACCTGTTCCCCCCTCTGGGCTCTGGCAGTGACTGATGCTCACATTGGGCTGTAGCTGAGTGCAGACCCCGGGCACTTGGGGATGCCTGGGGCAGGCATTAGATCAGCTCCGCATCTCTTCTCATCTGGGGAAGGTGCTGTGTGTCATCAAGGTGTGCCTTCATGCTCCTGCAGAGAGGCTTTGAGGTTGCCATTCCCTGCTTAGGTCACTTCCCCGTGGGACTGCATGCCGTGGTTGTGCTTGTGGGGTTGCATGTGTGCTACAGAAAGCTGGATATGTGACTTTTAAAAAATATATTTTCTCCCCTGTGGCACGTGTGGCTATCTGAGAACCTTAAGTGGGACCTTCCTGACTTCTGTACCTATAAAACCTCTCCTGTAAAGCTGTAAACCCAGTGGTTGCCTGCACGCCAGGTTTGCACAGAGCAACATCTTGAAGTGTAAGCTGGAGACCTGGTAATTGAGTGGCTCCTGCGTCTTCAGATTGTGAGCTTCACCAGCTGTTGTTATGGAGTCTCTCATCCAGACTTCTGGGAAATCACACCACGATTATATTTCTGGCTTAAGACATTTATTTATTTATTTATTTATTCCTGATCAGGCTGGGCCTCACAAAGAGGTTGCCACTTAGAGGTAATTACTTGCTTTCAAAGCTGAATGTCTCTTGAGGATTGCAAATAGAGGATTATCAAATTAATTAGTTACACCAAGAGGTGCTTTTGTGAAGCCAAGGCCTGCTTTGCTTGCGAACTGAAATAAAGGTTTAAGTATTACTAAAGCACGTAACACCCACTCTTGTCTTCCTAGTGGGGACAGGAGTCGCTCTCTCCTGAAGTGGTGGTGCAGAGGGCTGCTGGCAGCCCCATTTTTTTTTTCCCTTTAGTTAAACCTGTGTCAAACAAGCACCCATCGCTGCTTTTAAGGCCAGGTGGGGCCTGATGCTGCTTCTTGGTGGTTTCCACATCCCTCCAGGCTGATGGGGCTCACAGTGGGTAGCTTGGTGGGATCATAACGTAACGAAGCTATGCTTTGAGGGCAAGCCTTAATCCGTGGGACATCTGCATGGCTAGGAGAGCCCCGGTGCAGCGACGAGCAGATGCCTGGAAGTGGATTTGGAGTCATCCCTGGGTTCTGCGCTGCCACCGCCTGCTCCAGGGCTCTCCCTGCCCCTGGAAGCCCCCACGGACACGGGAGGTTCCCTGTGCTGTGTGAGGACGCCGCTGATCAGGTTAAGCTAACGTGGGGTGCGTGTGTGGGGTTTTGCTGCACGCTGCTGTAGGGAAATCGTCTAGCTGGCGTGCCTATTGCACAACTTCCCCTAGGTCAGAAGATGGCCTTATCCGGCATCCAAAACATCTCCCTCCTGTGTCTCTTCCAGCACAGCTGAGTCCTCTTGGTAAACGCACTGAGCTTTCCCTGCCTTGCACAACCGAAGAGAAGCAGAGCTCTGCTAGCAGGGACTCAAAGCCAGAGGCCCTGCCTGCGCTCTCCCAGCCCACGCGGGGCTCTTGACCACGATGCTGCTTCAGCAGGCACTTGAGGAGCTCTGCAGCTCCACGTCCAAGGCCCAGCAAAGGGGAAGCGGGGAGCAGAACTCATCAGCTGCCACGCGAGCTACCAAAGTGGTCCCCCTGGGGTAAAATTGCCCGTCGGTCCGTGCAAAGGACCTGGCTCGGCTTGGCCAGCAAACCCAACGCTGTGGGCACGCGCCCCGGTGCCAGGAGCTCTCCTTGTGGGCTGCTTTCATCTGCCGTGGCCCCTTCCTTGCCCCTTCCCGGCTGACAGCAGCCTTTTGCACCGGCTTCAGCAATTAAAACTCAACCCGAGGAAACCGCAGGGCTCGCGCAAGAGCGAGGAGCTGCTCCTGCGAGGAGACAGTGCGAGACTGTGTCGGGAACAAGCGCGGCATTGTTGTCAGCCGCAGCCGAGAGGGGCTGTTCAACACCCACTGGAGTGCTGGCTGCAGCTGTCTGCCATGTGCTGGTGTAGGAAACAGATCTACAATGCAGCAGACGAGGGAAAGGCCACTTTGCAGTTAAAAAAAAAAAATAAAAATAAAATCTATATTAGGATCCAGCCATGAGTAAACAGCGCCGCGATGTTCCCCGGAGCGCTGTGCCATGGCACAGGAAATCACGTCACCGCCCCCGGCTGCGACGGGGCGAGGTGAGCTCAGCTCTTCGGGAAGATGCTCCTGAGCTCTGAGCAGGGTGGAGGAGGAGGAGGAGCAAGGCTGGGTTTGAGATTTACTCAAATCAGACAGCCCCTTCCCTCTGTTTGTGCACAGGACACCTACAGCCAGCAGATTTCTGGTGGTGCCCTGTGCGGTGTTGGCTTGGGAGCTTTTGGAGAGCTTTTGGTTGTCACATCTATGGCTCAGACATCCGCTGCACTTCAAAAACCAGGTGAAAAATGTGATGGAAACCATACCGGGGCTGTGTGCACACCCTTACACGGTGCCCTCCTCGTCTGTGCTTATGGGGGTGCTGTAAAATCCTGCACCAGCCCCCAAAGGTACCATCCTTTTTCTGGCCTCCTGGATCGCTCCTGGCCTCCTGAAGGGAATCCTGCCTGGCATGCTGCAGGTGAAGGACCAGCAAGGACATCTCCATAAAACTCCTGAGAGGCGTGGTGGAGCTCTTCTGCCTCCTCTGACTTTGCGGCAGGGGCTGTGAGTCCCGCAGAGACAGCTCAGCACCTCTGCTGGCAGGAGGTTTGTCAGCCAGCTGCGTGCCACGAGTGCACTGGGGGCACATCGCTCTCCGTGCTGCCCTTCTCAGAGCAGGGACAGCCCCTGGGGAGGCTGCCAGCACCTGCAGGAGGATGTTGCAAAGGTGTAGCCACATCTTTGGGCTGCGAGGTGCGTTTTGGGGAATAAATGAAGGGCAAAGCTGCTTTGCAAACACAGCCTTGTGCAGGCAAATCTGTGCTCGGAGGCTCTGCTAAGGAAGCGTGCCAGGTTCCTCGCCCTTGTGCTGTGAATTTGACAGGGAAAGAAAGGTTCTTCTGCAAAGTGCAAACAGTGATGCAGCTGCTGTGCTCGGATCTGCTGTCAGAGTCGCATCCCATCCAGGAGGACGTCCAGATCCCGCAGGGGACATCTTCCCTCCTGCCGTGCGTCCTCACGTCCTGCCTGAGCCACCCTTCCTCTTGGCATGGGTTTTGTGTGACCGGCACCGGGATGGTGCCGGCACCGTGGCCTCCTGCTTGGAGGCTGGTCCCTGCTGAGGCCACACGGTCCCAAATCCTGCAGCCAGGCCCTGGCCTCATCCCCAGGGCTTCTCCTGGGTGTCACCTCCCTCTGCACGCCACCAGACCCCAGGGTGCCCGGCGGCACCTGCCTCTCCCTCCCTCCCTCTCTCCCCGCCTCGGTGGTTCTGCCCTTTCCCGTTGTCACTTCTGGAGGCTGTTGCCTGCCTGCACGGTGACCTTCCCCGCTCCCGGGCAGTTTTCTGGCCCCTGGCCATCTTAAACAATTAATGGAGGGGTGGAGAAACTTGCCATGTTAAATTACTTCCTCCTTTGGGAGGGGGCGAGGTCTCCACATCTTGCCTGATACCAATGCAGTTTGTTGCCGCTGCCTGAAGCGGTCACTGCCTCTCTTGTTTTCCTTCCAGAAGTTACAAAAACAGCGTTTCTCGGGGCTCTTTGCTATTCCTCAGCGTTTTTCTGCCTAACCCGTAGCGCTTCCCTGAGATCTCGCAGAGCGGAGAAACTTCCCTGAACTTGGAGAAAAAGCAAAGCCGAGCGGAGAGGAGAGGAGAAGAGAGGGGGGCGTTTTTGCTGGGAGAAACCTCCCCACGACGCTGGAGACCTTCTTGGGATGTCTGCGGTGGGCTCGTTCTCCTCCAGCAGCTTCTCAGACCTGCGAAAGCATCTCCCTGCCACGGAGCATCCTCGCTGAGCAGGCACCGGGCGCGGCGAAGGACGCAGCGATGCCGTAAGGAGCAGCCCACGAGTGTCCGCTGGCTCTGCCCGTGTCCCTGAGGTCCCTGAGGGGCTGGGGAGCTCGGCACCCTGCGTGATGTCCCTCCAGCGCCGAGCCCTGGGGTTGGCTGTCAGAGAAACCTTGGAGGTCCCCTGCTCGGTAGTGTCATGAGTTAGATTAGTTGGAGCCGCGCTGGGGGCGGCGAGGGCTTGGATTACAGTCCGGGACTCCAAGTGCTTCGGTAGTTCACGTCGGAGGGGAGAGGAGACGCCCCGTCGCGGCACACATGGAGGAAAACGAGAAGAAACGCCGCTTTTGGAAGTGAGGGGGGGATAAAGGAGGCCGAGAAGATGGTAAGGAAACCGCCGCGGAGGGCTCCCGAGCGGGGCGGTGTGGGATGGAGCTGGACGGGGCAGCCGGCGCTATGGGAAACAGCTGCTCGCGTGCTTCCCGTTACTCAGATGGCACGGAGCACCCTTGGGTGCCGGCTCCTAAGGGTGGCTGCAGGGCCACGGGGCTCCTGTTGGGTGCTTCTTGGGGCTGCAGCCCTGCTGGGATGTCGCAGAGCAGGAGGCACAGGCTGGCTGCTGGGCTCTCCTCCTGCCCCGGCCCCTGCCAGCCCTGCCTGGGGGCTGGAAATGGGTGTCCTGCGTGGACACTGCCTCCACGCAGGGCCTGGGGAAGGGCAGAGCTGCTTTTCTTCCACCCAGGGTTGGTGCTGGGGGGTTGGAGGAAGCCCTGAGAGCCTGGCTGGGCAGCAGAGCACCCCATCTCCCCAGGGGGAGCTGCAGGGCAGTCCTGAGCCTGGCTGTGCCATGCACAGAGGTGCCGGGTGAGGTCCTGCTACGGGCCAGGCTTGCTCCTGGTTGGATTTCCTCTCTCTCAAATGCCCGGCTTCTGGGCTCGGAGAAGCTCGGCTTTCTTTGAGATGAGGTGCTCGGCTCGTGGCTCTGTCCCTTCCCGTTGTCACCCTGCATCTCCTCTGCACCCTCGTGTGCCTGCATCGGAGCTGTGCCTCCTGTCCTCTCCTGTCCCACTGCAGGCATCTTGCTTTGACTTCTCACCCCAGCCAGCAGAGCTCTTCCTCGCAGCTCTGCTTCTGCAGAGGTGCCTTTGATCCTCAAGATCTTCATCCCCGGTGCTGCCTCTTGTTCCACGGTGAGGCAGAAGCTGCCCGAAGCAGGGCACATTGTGCGGAGCGGTGCCACGGCCGGGCCGGGTGCCGAGGAGGGCCTGCAGGGGATCAGGGAGGGCTCTGAGGGGACCCTGTGCCCCTCAGGTGCTGCCTTCAGGCCTGGAAGCTGCAGGGAGCAGTGCTGAGAGGCCAAGCTGCCCGTGGGGAGAGAACAGACCCGGCTGCGGGTGCTGGCCTCGCCGCAGACCCCAGGTCCCTGGCGGGTGGCTGTTCTCGAGGCCCCAGCAGAGCAAAAGTGACGTCTGTGGGCGGCTGAGATGCGGCTGCAGCTCCGAGCTGTGCAGTTGGGCTCGCCTTTCCTGGTGAATCAACATACCCTGCAGGCAAAAGATTTGGATCAGAGCGAACGTGGCTGGGTCTGGTGGCCTGCGTGAGGTTTCCCCGTGGCCGTGGGGCTCGGCGTGGTGCAGCTGCAGGCTGCCCAGCTCTCTGGGGCAGGTGATTCTTCGCTCTCATGCTTCAACACCGGGGATGTTCTGCTCTGTGTGCATGGTACGTGGGGCTGCACCACGGTGACGTCCCCAGGCTGAGGGACGGCTTCCTCCCTGGAAACTGCTCTTCCACCCTTCCCAGGACGATTGCTGCTGCTCTTCGATGGCAGCGGGGGCACTGTGGGCCCGGCACGTGAGTGCAGGGAGGCTCCCACAGCTGTGCCCCGTGAACTTTTCTGGTGGGTTTCAGCAGAAGAGAGCCTTTCTTCTATCATCCAGTGAAGTCTTTTCCTGGGGTGGGAAGGAAATGAGGCTGGGCATCACAAAAAACTTTAAGCATTGGGGATCATCTTTATTTCTGTGCCAAAGCAATGAGCAAGATTTTGGAGCACAGAGCCTGGAGATGTAATCCTGAGCACATGGAAGTGGTTTGAAAGCACCTTCTCTGGGGTGACAGCTTGTGCCTGATGCCCACCTTCTTTCCAAAGCCCCTGGCCAGCAAGCATTTATGGTGAGATGCTGTGGGTTTCCAGGGAGGAACGTGCACCGAGTATCAGCAATTCCTGGAAATCAGCATCCTGCAACAACCCGCCTCTGGCCATGGCCACGTTTGATGCAGGAGCAGTCTGGAGGTTTATCTGGCTCACGGTGGGGCAGCACAGTGGGGAAGCACTCTGGGCTTCTGCCCGAGCTGTCCCTTGTGGTCTGTAGGATGCCACGAGGGCAGGGGTGCTTGGTAGCCACAGGCTGTGCGTGCTGGAGGTGCTGGCTTTCCAACAGCCCCGTGGGAGATGCGCTCAGGAGCCACGTGCGTGTGGATAGCGCTGCCTTTGTCGCCGCTACCTTGCGCTGCAAATCTCCTCTGTGATTGTATAAAGAAAAGAGCATTGCTGGAAATGGGATTGATGAGAAATGGCAACGGAACAGTGGCTGCTTCAGCAACAGAGAGGGTGCTGAAGAGGAAGAAGTCCTTGAGGTGCCACCAGCATGTGAAACGGGATGCCAGCCCCTAGACACTAGAGCACAGAGCTCCATGGAGACAAGTTTGGAAAAGCAGGCCCAGGATGGGATGTGTTGCTGGCTGAAGTGATAAAAGCAATAAAAAGCAAGGACAGCCTGCGAGGGTGAGCTCCCCGCTCGTGCTGGTGGGATGCTGTGGGCTGTGCTTGCACACCACGTGTGATACCTGGCCTGCAGCTCAGGGGAGTGAATGGATTTTGGCTCTGAAGGTTCGGCCCTGCCCAGGTCTCTCTGCCACGTGCAGTGCCCCGTCCCTAGTGGCTAGTTTCGTGTTTCACTTAAGAAAGGAACAAAACATTGGGATGTTCTTGTGGTGAGTGCTCCTGGCAGCTTTCATGCATATCCCACTTGATTTTTTATTTTTTTTTTCATCACTGGACGCCAAGCTGAAACCTTGAGATCAAAGCATCCCAAGGTGAATCTAAAAATCTTCCCCCTGCTCAAATTTACCGTGGGTTGGGATGCCCAGGTTGCTGCTGGGGCAGCCAGCCACTGACATGATGGAATCAAATGGCTTGAGGAGAAACGGGGAGCAGCCGAGGACTGCTGCACGTGCTCCTCCTGGACGTGTGGCAGAGAAAACCTCCGTGGGACCTTGTGGTCAGCCCCAGCGGGGCGAGGTGCTGCAGGCGGCTTGAAGGCGTGGGGAGGAAAAGCCGACGGAGTTCTGGAGCTCTGAGCTAGGTGTCCACCTTGAGCTTCGCAGCCCGTGCGAGGTGTGGCAGCACTTGCAGGAGCCTGAGTTTGAAGGTTTCCTTCGCAGGCTCCTCCAGGAGGATCCCTTCCTTTCCCGGGGGCCGCCTGTTGAACCTCCCAACAAAACCCGAGCCTCAGACGCGGTTAAAGGATGTGGATTATTTGCTGTCTGTTGTCATCTTTCTGAATACATTTACCTTTTGAACAAGGTCCCTCTCATACGCTCAGGAGGCTGGTATGCAGACCCGTTAATGGATCAAGGGGAAAAATGCCTGTGGATGTATTCTCCTTTGTGTTTGGGCTTATAACCACCCACGTTTTCAGGGCAGCTGGCCTAAAACCAATCAAAGGGATATTCCATACCATGTGATGTCACACTCAGCAATAAAAGGTGGAAACAGGAGAAGGGGAGGGGTGGGCTCTCGTTTGGAAGACGTCGGTCCTCCTCTCGAACACCGGCTGCGTGCGTTGAGGCCTTGCTTCAAGGACGTGGTCAATCATCGCTCATTTGTGGGAAGTAGAGAGTAATTTCTTTCCTCTGCACTTCCATATAGCCTTCATTTATTTTGTTTGTTTGTTTCCTCCCTTCTTTTTATTTTCCTTTTTTCCCCTCCCTTTCCCCTTTCCCTTTTTATTTCCCCTTAGTTAAATTGTTAGTTCATGGTAGTCTTTATTTAATTATTATAATTATTTCCCTTTAATTAAACTATCCTTATCTCAACCCGTGAGTGTTCTTTGCTTTACTTCTCCCCCTCCTCATCTAAAGGAGGGGGAGTGAGAGAGCGGTTGTGGGGTTTAGTTGCCCAGTACGGTAAAACCACTACATCCCTTCTATGCACAAAGATGTCTTTTAGAAATCTCTAGTTAAATCTCCACCCTCCTTTGATATGTATGGAAATAATGGGACACGTGAGACTGTTTTCTATTTGGAAAAAAAAAAAAAAAAGGAGCTATAAAGGGAGTAGCTTAAAAGGCCTGTGTTTACTCCTTTCTAACTCAGGAGTTCAGTAAAAGCAGCGCGCTGAATTTATGACTGATGTACTTAGCTCTCTGGGAGGCGCTCATTTAGGGCTTTAGCTGAGTATAGGGGAAATGTTTTCACCCGGGCTTGGCTGCTCGGAGGCAGGGCTTCAGCACACGACTGAGTGCCTGTGTCCTTTCCCCAGCCAGCTCTGAGAGTCTCAGAGGAATTTTATCCACGGAGGGCATGGACCGCTGCTCCTTGCGGTGCCCGGGGCAGAGCTGGCACAGCCACAGCCACCTGCGCTGCCCTCCTGTCCTTCTGGCTGCTCCTTCCTCAAAGCCGAGGGCACCTGAGCTGGCGTCTGGTCTGCCAGCTGCTTCCCCACATCGGGGACGTGCAGGGATTCACTCCTCCAAGGAAAAGCCCTCGCACGCTTACTGTTTTCTCCTACGAAGAGCCAGCCCCTCCTGGAATCGCTGCTCCGGCGCTTTGGAGCGCTTTCCTTTCCCCCTCGGTGCAGCAGGACTCACGTTTCATGTGCACATGGTCAGGCAGGCTGTTTAAAGCTAAAAGGGTCTGTGGCTCATCTGTTAGGGGATGCTGGGGCCGTAGAGCGTTATCTAGCTCCCACGTTGGGTCTGGGAGCTTTTAACTACAACGTGTTCTTTTCTTGGGGGCATCCACCCTCAGTTACGGAGGTTGCAAAAGGTGCAAAATCTGCCCTCGGGAGCCTGTCCCGGGAGCTCGTGCACCTTGCAGGGGAGGGATGGGATCTGGATGATGGGATTTGGCTGCGGCCTCGCGCTCAGAGCATTTGCAAGGCTGGCAGAGAAGCAATAACCTAAATGGAGACCCTGGGAAGAGCGTTTCTGGCACTCGTCAGCTGTCCTGCTGAAGGATTATCGTTTTCTCTCGGAGCACAGGAGGCTGCCCATCTGTCGTGAGATGCTCCCAGGTGGGTGGCTGAATGCGAGGTGTTGGTTCTGGTCTCGTGCCCCTGCCTGAAAGGTGTCGAAGCGAGCTGACCTGCTTGGCCGAGATCTTGCT